TGTCCACCCCTAGCTTTAACCATGTAATTAGGCGCCACGTTGAGCACTAATAGCCACAAAAAGGGAGGGAGTCATAGGGTGCAAGTTGTGCAAACCTTTCGAGAGTTGAGGGATACAGAAACCTGCAACCCCTGTACTTGTATATATAAATTTAGATTGTTATATATTAGTTAACCATGAAGACCTACAGAGACCTATATAAATTTAGATTGTTATATATTAGTTAACCCATTTTGATTTTTATTTTTCTTTCACCCGGTTGCAAAAATCCTCGACAGAGATTCTACACGCCCTCCAAAATAAAATTCTGGAATCAAAATGCACATAAAATTACTGAAAAAGATTGGGTTTAGTCAAATCTAATGAGATCCACCAAAAACATAAGCTCAGTTATATGAACTTGGTTAGTTTTCTAAATAGCACTTTATTCTTGAATATAGAGTGCAAATTCTCTTCTTTTCTTTTTAAGTATGCACGGAAAATGAAAGATGAGAGCATCATTTTAAGGATATTCTCATGTTCTTTCTTCTTTCTTCTTGTCTCAAACTGTTACAAACCAGAATAAATAGAAAGGTTCAACTTCTGTACAATCCAGATTAACTCCATTGCAACAATTGCTTCTTTCAGAGTTTGGTATCAACTACAAGTTGACTTTCCCAATGATATCGTATCCCCAGCACCATCAGTCGTTTCTCTATCCAAGCCTTTAACACCGGTAGTTTTTTGTGAGATTGTTGCCTCGGATTTACCCGTTCTGGTGCTATCCTTCACTTCTGCGTCTTCACCATAGAATGACCCCGACGATCTCAGCTCCTTTACCATTCGAAACTCGTCATAGTGTGCCCGTCTATGTTCCTTGAAACTTGCATTTTTCTCACTCTCAGAATCTGCAGTGTACAAAAACAGAGACGGAGATGTTATCTGGTAACCACGAAACTACGAGTCAGCTTTGATCTATTTGTTTTGGTTTCGCAAAGAACCTGGATTTTCATCCATTGGATCTTCGTCATCATCTGAGGAGCTCCAGCCACCAGAATCGGATATCTGGCCGGTATTTTTACTGGAAGAAGCTACATCAATCAGAAAATTCCTTAGTTCTTCCGCACGTTGCATCTCATCAACGCAGTTGTCAAACGATCTTCCTCTGGGAGACAGAGAGCCTGAT